AAAATGGATGATATTAATGTGTCACACCCTAGAATAGTTTAGTAGATCAAACACAAACATTCTCTCTACTCACCAATAGTATTATTTATTAAAAATACTTATATGGTTCAAAATATATTCCAATTAATGTTCATTCTTTATAAATATGATCTTCATAGCACCCCTTAATATAAACATTATAAATATTCACATTTCCAGAGTAGAAAATAAGGCTTGGAGTAGTTAGTAATTGCCTATGATCACACAGCCAAAGTCACATTTGGCAGGTGTTTGAGTTATGTCTTTGCACTGGCCTCTGTGCCTCCTCTCAGGCAAGCTTGTCTATGCTGCGTCCCTCAGTGACATACCTCGTTTTTAGTGACGAAGTGAGAAAAAGGTATTTTGGTGAGTATCTACTTCCACTAGAATTTACCATTATTAGAATAAGTATTACTTAATGGACTCTTGACTGTTCACTTCTCAATGTCTTCTGTTTACCTGGAATTGAACTAATCCTGTCTTATTTCCACTAGTCTGTGCTTAGCTTTACACTTTGAAAGAGAATATTTAGGAGCATTCTAGTGTGATCTGATGACTTCCATTGAAAGTACGGCTGAAATGATATTGTCTTCCCAGGTATTTATGAGTCTTTTCAAGGTCTTCATGCAATTATGAAGGATGATCCACATTACACATTTAAGTTGGCATGTTGCTAAATCTTGATTATATGTCTTTAGAACACTCCCAAGCTTTTATGGTGAAAATTATGATGTCCATTAGCTGTGCATTTTTCATTAAAAATATATCAAGTGATAAATAAATCTTAATATTTCTAGTCTGAAAATAAAAATGATGGTCAGGGAAACAGTTTTCCATGCTTAGACAGATTTGTAGATGTGGTTATCTGGGAATGAAACTCTTGATATTTACATGGCAGTGTCTCTGCCATTTCTAACATGTTGTATTCTCTGTAGTGAATACATCCATCATGTCACAGGAGAATCAGACCTTCAGCTCTGACTTCATCCTTCTGGGAATCTTTGGTCACAGCCCCACCCACACCTTCCTCTTCTCTCTGGTCTTGGGCATCTTCTCAGTGGCCTTCGTGGGAAACATGGCCATGGTCCTCCTCATCTGCCTGGACGCCCGGCTCCACACCCCCATGTACTTCCTCCTCAGCCAGCTGTCCCTCATGGACCTCATGCTCATCTGTACCATTGTGCCCAAGACAGCCTTCAACTACTTGTCTGGCAGCGAGTCCATATCTGTGACTGGTTGTGGGGCTCAGATATTCTTCTACGTGTCCCTGATTGGAGCTGAATGTTTCCTGTTGGCTGTCATGGCCTATGACCGTTATGTGGCTATATGCCACCCTTTACGATACTCAGGTCTCATGAGCCAGAAAATATGCTGTTTCATGGCTGCTTCTTCCTGGATTCTTGGTTCCACTGATGGTATAATTGAAGTTGCAGTGGTATTGTCCTTTTCATATTGTGCCTGGGAAATACCTAGTTTTTTCTGTGACGTCCCTGCCCTGCTCACTCTCTCATGCACTAGCACCTTGCTATTTGAAAGAACGATGTTTATCTGCTGTGTTGTCATGCTTCTGCTCCCTATAGCAGTCATCATAGCTTCCTATGCTCGTGTTATTCTGGCCATCATTCGCATGGGGTCTGCAGAGGGTCGCCGCAAAGCTTTCACCACCTGCTCCTCCCACCTTATGGTGGTAGGAATGTACTTTGGAGCTGGCATGTTCATATATATGAGGCCTGTTTCTGACCACTCCCCCACCCAGGACAAGATGGTGTCCGCCTTCTACACCATCCTCACTCCCATGCTGAACCCCCTCATTTATAGCCTTCGCAACAAGGAAGTGACCAGAGCATTCATGAAGGTTTTGGGGAAAGACAAGTATGCAGAATAACTTGCTTAAGTATCTTTATTATTTGCTTTTTTTGCCCCTACTTTTGTTACTCTTTCTTAAATTTATGTATTGTTTCATTTATTCAGTACCTAACATTTATCCATCGTTGTAGCAACAAAAAAAGATTTAGAAACTAAAATCTATTTGCATTCTTTTGTTCAAGTATTTCATATTTTTATTATGGTAAGTATAAGATATGGCTATAAGTAAAGATTGAAAAGCAAAATCCACTTCTTTTATATTTTTAAAAAATAATATGTTACAAATGAGAATTATTACATGTCAAATACCCCATTGATTGATTGTACTTATAAAACTAAATTTGTCTTTTAACATGTCATAGGCTTAATCCTGGCAAAGGAAAAGAATTTTTCTTAATCCAATATTATAACTTGAATTGATAATTTTTTAAATGTATGACCAAGATAATTTAATACAAAATTATAAATATGAATTTAAGATCATTGTGAAAATGAACTTAACATGGATGGAGGGGAGAGAAGCTCTAAGTTGAGCTTTAGCATATTGAGCTTTAGTTGGACTGGACAGTCTTCTCCTTTAAGATACTGGAAGATTGGGGAGTCTCCATTTATTTCCTTCCCCTAGAGACTTTGACCTTACAAATAGGAGATTAAAATGTGAATATGAATCTTTTAGTTCTGGATTCACCACACTTACACATTTTAATCTTTATGTGAGTAATGAACTGCAATTGCATGAAATCATGATTAATTTTTAATGGAGAAATTTTGGATTGTTAAGTCTACACACTTTATTATATCTCATGTATTACATACAACACCATAGATATTGTTGTGATGGTATTTACATAAAATTAAGTATGATCCTGGAGATTGTTATGTTTTTAAGAGAAAAAAATCTCTATCACCTAACATAAAAACAAACTGTTCTGTTAAACTCTGACACAACATTCTCATTGTACTAATTTTCTTCACTGTGTAGCAGCTTTAAATAGCGGCCATTTATTATGCCATGGTTTGTATGAGTCAGGAGTTCTGGCATGGCTAATCTTATTCTTTTTCTCAAGGTCTTACAGGGTAGTAAACCAGGTTTTGGCTAGGGCTGCCTGCCATTTCATCTGGGGCCCATGATCATCTTCCAAGCTCACATGGTTGTTAAAATAAGTTATTTCTATGCAATTAAATAACCTTGGTTGCTTGCTTGTTAAAGGTCAGCAGATGGAATTCTCTGGCCTCAGTAAAGCCCTAAGGCTTCTTATACAGATTTGCCAACTGTTGAGGCCAAGCCAATATAGAATCAGCCTCTTTAGATTGCTTAGAATCAATTGGTTTGGGACCTTTGTTACATCTGCACGATCATTTTTACCTTATAGGATAACACAATCACAAGAGTGACACCAAGAAATGTAGATCATGGGAGACAGTATAGATTGTTGCTACCGAACTCACACAGATTACTTAAAGACTCATATCCATGAAAGTCATAAAAATAAAATTACAATTTCTTATTCTGTCAGTAATGTGAGATAACATTGGTAGTGTCCTAATGATTGACTGAATTAAGAAAACTTTAGAAATTCTTTAATATATTAATACACCTATTTAATGAATCAACATATAGTTTATGTAATTTGATTATACTTATAATTTGTTCATAGCACATACAATGTATCTTCTATTTGCTATAAATATAATATCTAATATAATAAATAGGAAAAACTTAACACTGTTGATCTCAAAAACAATTATGAATGCTGTATTCTATATTTTTTCCATTTTTCAGTTCTAAAAGTCAATTAAAATAAATACTGTCTTTTTAGGATTCTCTGTACAAGTAAATAAATAAAAAGAAAAGATTGAGTTAAATGAAATGTTATTCATAATGCATGTTTTACTTTACTGAAAAAAATTTCTCACTCATAATATCATTCATTAATTTTTTATAGTAAGTCAACTCACTCATAGGTTAAACAAGTAATTTTTTTTTGCATTCCGATGAAAGGAGATCAATATAAAATAAATATTATATTACACTATCAAATTTTCAGTGTATAGGTCCTTCATGTGCTTCATTAAGTTTATTTCTAGGCATTTTGCAGTTGAAAACAAAGATTTTTTTTTCTGAAATATCATCGTTAATGTAAGAATGCTATAGATTTTTGTACGTTGATTTTGTATCCTGCAACTTTACTGTATTTGTTTATTGTTTCTAATAGTTTTTTGGTGGCGTCTTAGGATTTCCTATATAGAGAATCATGTCCTCTGCAAAAAGTAACAACTTTATCCAATTTGGATTGGATGTCTTTTATTTCTTTCTCTTGCCTGATTGCTGTAGCTAGGATTTCCTATGTGGTACATCTATACTCAGCCATAAGAAAGGATGAAATACCGTCATTTGTGATAACATGGATGGATCTTGAGATTATCATGCCTAGCATGATAAAAAGTTGAGAAAAAGTTGAGAACCATGTAATTTCACTCATATATGAAATATAAAACTGAAAGCGACAAATGAACAAGACAGAGACTCATATACACACAGCACAGTTTGGTGGGTACCAGAAGAAAAGGGGGAGGGGGAGGTAGAGAAAGGTAAAAGGGGTCATATATTTGATGACGGAAGGAAATTTAACCTTTGGGTGGTGAACAAACAATGCAATATACATATGACATATTGTTAAATTGTACACTTAAAAGCTATATATATATTTTTAACCAGTGTCACTCCAATAAATTTTTTTAAAAAGAGTCCTCTGGCAAGTTTCAAAATGACTACTTTACCTCTTCCCGAGCCATAATCAAGAGGAAATTTCCCCTGATATTTACCGTGGGATTGTGGTTGAGTTCCTAGATGTAAAATAAATATCACTAAATTTTAGGGTTCCTCTAGGACTGGGTCCCCCTGGAGTTTTTAACACTTATGGTTGTCTTCAGGGAGCTTCCTACGAGTTGTCAAGTACAGTTCCCACTTTCCTACCCCAGCATGCTCCTCTAGCAGTTTGTGCCAGGACACACTGTGCTTGCCCGTCTGCCTCCCAGTCTTGGAAGTATCCATTTTCTATGTGTCCTCCTCTCTGATACAGATGGTCCCCTCCTTGAAGTGGTTTGACTTACTATGTTTTGACTTAACAATGGTTGAAAGCAGTACATATTCAGTAGTCCGTATTTCAATTTTTGGATTTTGATCTTTTTCTAGGCTAGTGATATTCTGTCATGATGCCAGGCAGTGGTGGTGTCCACAGCCCCAAGTCAGCCACATGACCGTGAGGGAGACAACCGGTGCTCTGTGGTGTAGGACTGCATGCATTTTTGACTTGCAATGTTTTCAACTTATGATGGGCTTGTCTGGACATAACCTCGTTGAAAGCTGAGAAGCATCTGCACATCTAGGAAGACTCGACAATTTCTCAGCCTTTTCAGCTTTTTACATGTTTTAAGATGGTGGGTGGTTCCCAAGCTCCTTACATGTGAAACTAGAAACCTTCCCCCAACTTTCACTCAGTTATTAATTGCATAGAATATCTTTCCCACCTTCTCTTTGATTTCATTTTGTTTCTCAGTTTTCCCATTAACACCTCCATTTGTGTTCCATTGATTTTGTGTTGACTCATTTTAAATCTCTGCTCATATCCTTTTGTGGGTATTTTATAGATATTTTCTTTGTGGTTACCTTGGTGATTACATATAACATTCTATAGTTATCACAATCTATTTTAATCTGATAGCAACTTAAGTCCTATAAAATTCTCTACTCTTTTACTGTTCTGCCCCATCTTTTTAATTGATGTCACCAATAACATCTTTATGTATTATCTACCAATGAACATATATTTATAATGGTTTGGTATGCTTTTGTGTTGAAATTAAGTAAAAGAATAAAAATCAAACTTTGAAATAAATTTTTAATAACGGTTTTAATGTTTGTTTATGTATTTAACTTAACTGAAGGTCTTTATGACTTTGAGGTACTGTGTAATCTCCTTTCCATTTGACTTGGAGGACCCTTTTTAACAATTTTTCTAGGTCTAGTGTTCATAAACTCCCTCTGATTTAGATTTTTTTGATTTTTTTTTTTGGTGAATGTTTTAATTTCTCCCTCTTTTGAAGGACAGTTCTGGCTAGATGTAGTGTTCTTGGTTGACAGGTTTTGTTTGTTCAGCATTTTGAATATCTCATTCTATTGCCTTCTGACCTGCAAGTTTTCTGCTAGGAAATTAGCTGATAATCCTATAGGGTACACCTTGTACATGAGGAGTTGATTGTCTCTTGCTGGTTTCATGATTCTCTTTTTTATTGTCTTTTGACAGTTTGATTATAAAGTGTCTCATTATGGATATGTTTGGTGTTCTCCTCCTGGGTGTTTATTGAGTTCAGCAGATTTTAATATCTACAGGTATCCCCAAATTGGGGAATTTCTAACATTATTTTTTAAAATATGGCTTTCTCTCTTTTTCCTCTGGACTCCCATAACGTGTGTATTGCTGTTTTTATGGTATTCCATAGTCCTTTTGACTTAGTTTGCTTTTATTTATTCCTTTGCTTGTTTGTGTCCCAGATTTAATAATTCTCAATGACCAGTCAGGCAGTACATTAATTCTGTTTTTTTTTTTCTGTTTGAGCCTGATATTGCATCATTGTAGTAATTTTTAAGTTTAGTTATTGTGTTTTTGATAGACTATTTTTTGAGCAATTTAGGTTCACAACAAAATTAAGCAGAAAGAACAGAGATTCCTATATAAACCAAACCCATACATATGCACAGTCTCCCCCATTATCAACATTCCCCACTAGAGTGGCTTATTGTTACAATAGATACATCTACAACGACATATCATTATCATACAAAGTCCATTGTTTACATTAGGGTCTATTCTCGATGTTGTACATTCTATGGGATTGGGCAAATTTATAATCACATGTATCTATTATTATAGTATCATACAGTATCCATTTACTACCTTAAAAATAATCTGTTTTTCTCTACATCTGTCTCCTCTAGCCTCAACCCCTGGCAACCAG